CATCCTGCAAATAAAACTGCTGGCCTTGCTCCCATCCACAACTTTGTTATTCTCAGGCCAGAGACCGGAAGAAGCTTCCACTCACCTAATGATGATCAATTAAGCCCTGTGTCAGACATGATACAAGGTACTACAATACAAAGAAGAATAATGCCGACCAATATGGAACATGCTATACTAAGGATACATAAATAGTGCCTTAGAAGGTACATCTATGTCTGGAGGAGAGGGAGAAGGAGGAAGGCTGAGAAAGCAATGCTAAAACTGAGTCTTAAAGAATGGATAGGAGGGATTTAGCAGACTACAGGCGGGCAGACCACGCCAGGCATGTAATAAAGGCCTAAGTATATCAGTAACAATCCAGTGGGAGAGCCTCATGAAAAAAAATCAAGGAACTCAAGGCAGGACAAAATGGAGAGTAATAAACTTTCACCAAGTGTCATTGGTGTGCCAAGGATGGAGCTAAGATTTTTTCCTGGAGGGTTCAGAGGATGATTCAAGTAGGAGATGGCCTTTGTTCTGAGAATAAGGGTAGAGTAAAACTGACAGGTGGAAGAGAGAAAGGATGTCATTCTAGTTAGGAAACTTTGCAAAAGGAAGATAGGAATGAAAGTACATGGCCATTTTCTTCTATTTATGCTCTCACCCTCGAGATCTCATCTAGTCCTGTGGCATCAAATACCATTTTAAGTGGGTATTTCCTTAATTTAGATCTCCAGCCCTGAATCAACGCTTGAGTCTCCCATCTGTACCCTCCATATGTTTATTTGGAATCTTCACTTCAAGGTCTTATAGTCATGTCAACTGTTTAATGTTCAATGCTGATCTCCTGATTGTCTTTCTTTCCCAAACCTGTTATTCTTCCAATCTTCCATCTCAGTTATTGGTACCATCATTCAACCAGTTGCTCTAGCAAAAATCTAGGAATCATCCTTGATTCCCGTTTTCTTCCAACTTCATATGTAATCCCCCAGTGAGCAGTCTGGCTCCACTCAAAAGCCATCTCAAATCTGAACACTTCCCTTCATTTCCTGGTCCAAGTGATCATTTTTGCCTTATTCTTCTATCTGGTCTCCTTGTTTCTCCTTTGCTCCTCTACTATCCATTCTTCACCCAATATTTCCAAACTACCTCTTAAAAATATAAGTCAGATCATGTAATTCCCTGCTTTAAATTCTTCAATAGCTTTTCCTTGTTTCTAGACCTTAAATCCTCATCTAATCACATAGCCCCCAGCTAGCTTCTCAATCTCACCTCCATTCTTAACTCATACCACATGCTCAGCTGCACTGGCTTCTTCCCAGTCCTGAAAATGCACAAGGTCTTTCCCACTCAATGCTTTTGCACCTAGAGCTCCCATTTCTGCGGTGATCACCCTCATTGTCTCACAATGATTGTCTCACAATCATCTTTCAAGTTTTGATTCAAATGTCATTACAAAAATATGCCTTCTAATAAAAATTCTACCCAAATTTTTCTAAATCATTACTATAATTATTTCCTTCTTAGAACTTCACATGTAATATTCTGTTCATTCATTTACGTGTTCATTCTTTCTCTCTCTTTCTAGAAGTCGCAGTTCTATGAAGCAGAGGTCTTATTTCTCTTTAAGCATCATATCCCAAGTACACAGCACAGTATCTGGCTTAAAGCATGTGTTCAATAAATATTTGTTGAACAAATGAGTGCCAAAGTCAGTAATATCTTAAGACTATAGATAAGGGTTGACAGAATTAAATGCACAGAGACATTATGTAAAATAAGGATTGAAAAGGATCATTTAGTTTGCTCATTTATATGTCACTGGTGAGAGTAGTGAATTTGGAGGGAAGGAAGAGGTAGGAATGTCATGGATGAGGAATAAATTAGGAGATGTGAAATTGAAGAACAGTAAGTATTCTAAGATGCTTGACTGAAAAGGGAACAATGAAAGGACAGTCTTGGGAATCTAAAGAAAGTTATTTTAAATTTTGTAAATGGGTGAGATTTGTACATATTTCCATGTAAGGAGAAGGAAGCAGCATAGACCAAGAGATTGAACGTACAAGGGGAAGAGAGGTAGATGATGGAGTAAGGTTATGGAGAAGATGGAATTGGGGAGTAGGATCTGGAGCCCGAAAGGGATAAATCTTGTACAAAGGAAAGATATCTCTTCTTCTGAGGGGCAAGGCATCAAGGAAGGTATCATTTAGAGCTTCCATTTTTTTCTGATAAAAGTGAAGAAGGAGAGGTACTTATGGAGCTTATATAGTGAACAGGTTTTGAAATATAGCCATGAGAAATTAAGAGGCATTAACCAGGAATTCATAAAAGGAATGCTGGTTGTCAATGAAGATTCAGTTGAAACCATAAATTTGGTGCAAGTTTCTATAATTGTGTAATTCATTCATCAATCAAACGTTTATCAGGTATATACTATGGTCTAGACCCTTTAGTTGATGTTGGAAGTGCCAAAATAAATCACATTTCTGAAGTCTAGTGGGGGAGAGAAACAAGCATATTAATTAGCAAAGCCTTGTGATGAAGGCTCTACTAGAAGAATAAAATTATACAATCAGAACACAGGATGATAGAAAAGAAGTGGGTAGTTTCTGGTCATAGAACTGATGGCTATAATTGAAGATTTCAGATTGGAACTGAAATGTCCTTGATGATAATAGAATCCTGGGGGAAGAGGTAGCTCCCTGGAATGGAGGAAGTCATAAAACTGTGATATGAGTAGGTTGGAGAGGCATTCAGGCAGATACTGAAGCTGTGTAGGAAAGTAGAAAGGGTTGTTTCAGACAACAAGTCCTGTGTGGCTGTGACCCGCCTACGTGAATTCTTGATGAATATTTGGGAATGACCTGGAAATCCATACATGCCAGTGATAAGGACTAGAAAGTGATACAGATACAGTTAACATCAAAGGAAGAAGACATTGTACATGAGAGGAATATTATTGTGGTGTAAAAGTAGCTATTAACAAGGAAGAAAATGCCCAAACCATTCTCCAGCTTCCTGGCACATGGGGCATCAGAAGATAATCATCCTTTACTCAAGAGAATTCCAGTCAAAACAATGATGTAGTGGTCTGAAGGTTGAAGATGTAGAGGATTTTATGTGTGATGACACAGGGGTTTCAGAGAGTCCAGTAGGAAGCACTGAAAAAGAATAAATCATGCTCACATAAGAGAATGAGGGAGGGAGAGAGAGGGAGAGAGAGAGAGAGAGGGAGAGAGAGAGAGAGGGAGGGAGAGAGAGAGAGAGAGAGAGAGAGGCTCACACTGTAGTAATGTCTGAGGATACCAGAGTGTTGGGAATGGAAATAATTGATCCCAAGATGCCAAAAGCCTCAGGTGTGACTTACTTCTAGAGCCTGCAGAGGCTAGTGCACCAAATAGTGTCTGCAATCCAAAGACACCAGCAACCTGGGTTTGGTCTGCTTGTAGTCAAGGGATTGTTAACAAAAGAACCACTGACTTCCCTTCAAGGCCAACACTGAGCATAAGCGAACATTGGTCTGTTGGAGCCCAGGGGAAAATGCTCTTTAATCCAATATCTGTTCTTTTTTAAAATTTAGCTTTGAAGTAGCTTTATTTTCTATGATCATGAAAGAAATACATATTCATTGCAAAATGTAAGGTAACTCAGAAAAGTATAAAGCATAAAATAAAGACCACTTAAACCCCAGAGGGAGAGGATATAATCATTGTTAACATTGTCATATCGGGCACTATAGAATGCCCTGGAATTTATCAGTTAAGACTCTGAAACACACCTTGTCAGTGTTTTCTTTCTCTGCCTCTCCTACCCTCTCTTTTACTCTCCATCTTTGGTGCTGCTACCTTTCTAACTTTATCTCTGTCCTCCGCAAATTGAAATCTCAATGATCTCTAGAGTGAAATCGTTACACCTTGAGCTCATCCAGTTATTCACTACTCATTGAGTGGACATCTCTCTCCATTGTGGCTGCTGGTGTTGTAGGCTCTGCAGCAGAGTTGCTAGGGCTGTGGCCATGTTGCTTGGGATGCTCCTTTTAGTTCTCCCAGGGGTCAGAGACTATGTTGGCTAGGGGAAGTCTGGAAACCATTTAGCTTTTCATATTCACTTCTCAAAAGAGGGGTGTGGCTAACCTGTCTTCCACAACAGACCTTCTGCTGGCAGTCACTCATTATCATTCACCACTGAGGTACTCTACTTTTTCAAGCAAGATCCAGTCTCTTGAATCACACACAACATGGCAAGCCAGAGTGGTTGAAGGGGCCTCTGTCAAATAAACATTAACTTCAATTGCCCCACCTGGGGAACTAGGAGAACCCTGAATAATGGTTTCATCCCTCTGAAAATCCATATGAGTACTTTCAGTTTTCTCAGTCTGGCTCCATTTCCAGAGAAGGGAAGTAAAACAGGCCTAGTAAGAATGCTCTCACCTTTTTGAGCTTGATAAATTTGTCCTTTATTTTACCACATAAGTCAGAACTACTATATATCAGAACCCTGCTAATTTTTTCTTCTCCTCCTTCCTCCCACCTATCTCCTGCCACTTCCCCAGAAGCATAAAGCTTTCAACATCCTGCTGTCCATTAGCATAAATAAACTCATGCTTTTAAAGTAAAAATAGGTTTAATGATTTTTGTTAAAGACTGCATTATCATAAGGGGATAAAAATATTCTTGAGTAACAGGTAGAGCATATACTTTAGAGACAATAACATGCTTCTATTGTGTTTCCCTGAAAGTCGATTATTTTAGCCATAGATTTAAACTTTAGATCTCAGCATAAGTTATGTTTCCACTTCAGAAATTGTTAAACCATGCAGTTTCTTAGGACCTGTACCTTCATGTTTTCATTTATTTTTTTTCTGTTGTCAATATACTGTAGGCAGATCTAAGAAATGAAAAAGATAAAGTGCCATTTAAATTTAAACATATGAACCAGTGGATGTGTTGTTATAACTTTTCTCCTCATTTTGACATATCTGTTGTTAATTTAAATTTTATGTATCATTTATACTATAGATAAGAAAATACTGGGCTAAAAAAGAGCAGAAGTGGCAAGAAATGGAAATGAGAGATCTTCAGCGTCTGGAAGAACTGAAGAAATTAATGGCTGAACAATCAGTGAAAGACAGAGAAAGGTAAAAGAAAAATCCTAAATGGCATAGTAATGGAGGTGGTTAGAGTAAACAGTATCAGAGGGAGCATTTTTCTATACTTAATGTGTTCTTACAGTATTTATATTCACAAACAGATAAAATGATACTTATAATGTATTTCAGTCTCTCATATTCATACACAAATCTCTAGATTGCCATTTAGTTCCTTAGATAGCTTCCTAGTTAAAACCCTCACAGATGATTTCATAGTATTTGATTGCCCACTGTGTGCATGAAATGATACTGGCTGCTGCTGTGACTTAATATGTTGACCTAGAAGGAGGAAACCATTATTCAGATAAGAAGGGAGACCCATTTACTATGATTGTGGCTGGGGAAGACAATGCACAATTATACAGCATATGTGATTCATTTTAGTATACTTAGAATGCACCCTATGTAGGAAAACACAGAGGATTTCTTGGAATGGTGTAGTTTTAGAGCTGAAAAGGACATTTGAGATCAACTAACCCAGTGTCCTCATTTTTTGAATGAGTATCCTGAGAAATTAAAATTACTTTTCCAAGTTTACCATATCAATCAGTGTCAGTGAGGAGACAGAGACAACACAGTAATTTGAATAGGGAAAGTTTAAGATAAAGAATTACTAATTCTAATAGAAAACCTCTGTTATATAAAGAGATAAAGAGAACTTTAAAGAAAACCCCAGGGCTGAAGGAAGCTTCCCATAGAAGAAATAAATATGAAACCCCACCCCCCAGCTCCAAGTTTAGGACTCAGACCTCATTGTAGAAGGCGTGGCCGTGGCCCACTGCATGGTGGAGAAGTTCTTAGATGGGCTCAACCAGAAGTAGTTCACAGTCGCTGGGCAAGCAGGAAATGCCCCGCATGAGTGTAGGAGGCCAAAGCTGGAAGTCAACCATTGGGATGCTTACAAAACTCAGTGGGAATCTGACCATGGGAGTGCCTCTGAAATTTGATGGGAAACTGACCATTGGGTGCCATTGGAACTCCATGGGCACAGGTGCCACTGGGAGTTCCCCACACATGCAGCAGGCAGACATATGGTAGGAGCAAGAAGGGGTAAACACTGGAACCAGGAAAGAAAGCTCCTCCCTCCTTCAGCATCTTTCCAGAACCCCTTTCTGACATAGCTTAACATTGTGTCAGACAACAAATTGGTAACTGGCATAGTTATAGATAACTAGAGTTTAGCTAGCTTCTGAGTAGATTTTCACAAGAGAGAAATTAAGAATAGCTCTTTTGTTTCATAACAGAAGTCACAATAAGTTTACTGTTAGTCAATTTAAATAAATAAACTTGCCTGGAACTGTGTACTTTCTGCTCAGTTTTGCTGTGAACATAAAACTACTTTAAAAATTAAGTCTATGTAAAAATTACCCCTTAGGGGTGCCTGAGTGGCTCAGTCAGTTGAGCCTCCAACTCTTGGTTTCGGCTCAGGTCCTGATCTCATGGTTTGTGAGATCGAGCCCCGAGTTGGGATCCACACTCAGCAGGAATCTGCTTGGATATTCTCTCTCCCTCTGACCCTTCCCACCCTCTCTTTCTCTCTCTCTCTAAATAAATAAATCTTTAAAAAAATAAATACAAAATAAAAATTACGCCCTAGACTTATACATAACCTTGGAAGATATAACCATTTTATACAACGAGGTTCACTTTTATCTAGGAAGCTTCCTTTGTAAGGATGGGACAGTTATCTCAAACTCCAGTCACCAAGGTTTCAGAGTAAATCTGGAGTTCCACATAAATGCCAGGCAATTCCTGAGGATTTTCTGGATGAAATTTATATCATTTTCTAGGTATCTCAGGATTTTAGAGTTCACTTTAATCTATTACGGAGAAAACTGATAATACAGCAAAGCCAAGGCTCTAGGCTAAGAAGTGAAACAGCCAATGAGAAACCAGCCAAATAAGCACAAACTAAGATAAAGTGGAAACCAGTAGATAGGTCATGCCATGCGTCAGAGACAAAAATCCCACTAAAGAGCAAGACAATGATGTAGGTCAAAGGCTGCTTGGATAGTCTGAAGCTATGCTGGGGAAACAAGAGAGAGCCACAGGGATTAAAGGGGGTGGGAAAAACAGAACAGATGTGAGGTCCCAGCATATAGCAGACATGCTTCTAATAGAATCTCCCCTCATAGCCAGGGAGTTTCTTTGATTACAGAGCCATTTCTGTCTTTTGCTTCCTGTTCCAATAATTATCAAGATTAGCTGACTCAGAACTCCAGTTGAAAAGAAGAAAAGGAAAATCAGATTAATCTGCATTACATAACAGGAAAAAATAGGCATATCACACATAGCAAAAAGAGTACTAAGGACTAGGAACCAGGGGACCAAGGTTTTAGTCTTAAATCTTCTTGGAATAGTGTATGAATTAGCCAAAACCATTCATTTAACCTCTATGAGGCTCTGCTTTGTTCTTTGTAAAATTGAACTGGACAGCTTCTGAGGGCTAAGTGAGCTATCAACTTTTAGGGGTCTATGATCTGTATGTTAAACTCATGTGAAATGTTGTAGATTTGGATAATTATGAGTCCAGTACTTGCATGCCAATGTGAAATCAGTGAGGAAGGTCATTAAAATATCTGGATAATATAATATATCAAGAAATAGTTCTGAGAAAATTTCAGATAATGTTGTAGATGAAAGCATGTCCTCATTCTGTGACTTAGGGAGATGGAGTTCAACATGTAAAAACTGCTGGTAGCTTTTGCTTTTGGCAAGAACCAGAAGTTGTGTTCTTTTATAACCACCCTGACACTAAGAAATTTGGCTAATTGCTTTTTCTCTACTACTGAAATACAGTTCACAAACCTCATATTTAATTTTTTAACTGGAGGCACATTTTTTTAATATCAAAATAAAAGCTTGAAACAGCTTCCAGATCTGTTAAAAACACACACACATGGCCTTGAGGGTTTAAAATTTTCTCTTGTTTATTTTCTTCTGTTTTTTAATTCTAAGTTTCTTGAAAACAATATTCATAAATTAGCGGATATATTAGGTCAAACCATAAGAAAATTTCATTTCTGCAGGTCAGAAATAGTTAAGTATTGGCAGTTTCATGTGGTTCAACATAAAAAGATATAGCGATTCATTTTATTTATTATGTTTTCCTTCTCAGTTATAATCTGTATTTCACCCTCAGTTATAATCTGTATTTAATTTACCTAAATTAAATTTAATTAACATATAGTGTATTATTGGTTTCAGAGGTAGAATTTAGTGATTCATCCATTGCATATAACACCCAGTGCTCATTCCATCAAGTGCCCTCCTTAATGCCCATCACCCAGTTACCCCATCTTCCCACCCACTTCCCCTCTAGCAACCCTCAGTTTGTTTCATATAGTTAAGAGTTATTTTATTTTATTGAAATTGTTTCTGCCAAAGTTTTCACTAACCTCCTAATTTCCTAAGCCCTATTCTCTTTTGGAACATGCTGGAGAAGCTAAGAGGGAAGGTTCTTTAATCAGGTTGTTGACATTAGAATCCTGGCTCTATTCTTTATAGCTATGTGACTTTTGGGTATGTTATTCAACTTCCCCGTGCTTAAATTTCTTTGTCTATACAATAAAGACACATCTAGGGTCTATTTCATAGGAGTGTTGTAAGGATTAAAGAAGTATTGAATGTAGCACACATTAAATATGTGATTACTATCAACTGAATTTTTAAAACATAAGATACCTTCTAACAATATTTTCTCAAAATATTTAAGCATTTTAATATTTTAGATAAAACATTTAATAATGAGGACATTTTTATTAAAAACAAAATATGAGGTTAAAGCAAAAGTGTCCCTTGATCACTACTCTCATATAATGTCTTCTCTAGAAGTCCTTTCTGTTATCAGTTGTCTATTGATACATATGCATACACACTCTTTCTATGTACCTATACAAAAAATGAGTTTAGGAACAAAAACCAAAAAAAAAAACCACCCCAATACATTTTATAATACAATACTATTGTATTAGCTCTAGCTGCCATAACAAACGAAGTACCATAGACTGGTGGCTTAAACAACAGAAATTTATTTTCTCACAGTTCTGGAGACTGAAGTCCAAGATCAAGGTGCCAGCATGGTGAGTTTCTGGGGAGAACTCTTTCTGGCTTATAGACAAGTGCTTTCTTGCTTTGTGCCCATAGGTGGGGAGAGAGACAGTAGCTCTCTGGTGTCTCTTCTTACAAAGACACTAATCCCATCCTGAGGACCCACCCGCATGACCTCATCTAAACTTAATTATTTCCCAAAGGCCTCATCTCCAAACACCATCACATTGGGGGTTAGGACTTCAACATATGAATTTTAGAGGGACACGTTCAGTTTATAGCAACCATTTGTGTTTAGAAAAGCATTTATGTATCTACAAATTACCTATTTACTATTAACTACTATTTATTGGTTGCTGCTGGAAGATAAGGTTTTTGTGCCAATTAGAAAAGGTGCTCTGTTCTGGTGGCAAAAGTACATAGATTCCCTACCTGAATAGACAAATTAGGAAAAGACCCCCTTCTGAACTATGGCAGTCAGCTTGACAAGCAGTGACAAAGCTGGATGTCATTCCCTATTTATACTCCTGGGCCAGCATCGCCTTTGCAAAGCACAAACTTCAAAATGATACATGGCACCCCTGCAAATAGATGTACCTAATTCTTTTTAAATAGTATATATTATCCACATTTCTTCTAAAATTTAGCCATCTGGAATTTATTTCCAAGAATGATATGAGCTAAGTGTCTTTCATTTTTTGGTCTAAATTGATAGCCAACTCTCTCAACACCAATTATTTAATGATTCATCCTAACCCACTGAGTTGAAATGCCACCTTTATTATATATTAAACTTCTAATTATACTTTCATATCCATATGGACTCTTGATTAGATTAAATAAAAACTGATCTATATTTATATTTCTACATCGATACTGTGCTGTTTTAATTAATATGTTTTGCTATCTGATAGAGCAAGTGTTCACTCATTATTCTT